TTTAGGGTTTAATATAGGAGCCTTAATAATTAGAACAGGGTTTTGGGATATATGACATACTTATAACAAGGAACCCGCCAAACATAGTTGGGGTAACTATTTCAGCCTCTACATTAGTCCACAGTCTTGTGCTTGGGCTTAAACTTTCAGGGTTTTTAGGGGTAACACCCTACCCTCTGCGGCACAAACCCTGAACCCCAGGTTCTTCGTTGGGGTTTAAGGTTCAGGATTTAGGGTTTAGTTTACAGCAACCTTGATCAGGCCTTCTTCGCAAGCACTCACGCCCGAGCCAACAGCCACGATGTCGACAGGCAGCCTGTCGAGGTGCTCAAGGATTGAAGCTTAGCATTTAGGGTCAGGGTTTAGGGTTTAGGGTTTAGGGTTTAGGGTTTAGGGTTTAGGGTTTAGGGCTTAGGGCTTACGGCCAAGATTCTGAGACCTACGTTTAAATTTCAAGGTCGGGGTCAAAGAACGTAGTAAGCAGACAAGCAGGTTACAAAAGGGCTTAGGATGTTCAGGCTGCAAGGATCAGGGCCGCAGTAAACAGGTCATAGGTATAGAGCGACCTACAAACCCTAAACCCTAAACCCTAAACCCTACACCTTAAACTCTGCGGAAACTAAGAAGTTGCAGCTGCGATCTTCTGCCGGAGGAGAAAGAAGCAGATGCAGGTTAAGGTTTAGGAGGGTTTGAGGCTACGGGCTAGAACTTAGGGTGTAGGAGGGTTTAGGATTTGGGGTTTTGGGCTTTTTTTGGAAGGGTTTTGAAGGGTTTGGGGGTTTAGTTAGGGCTTTGTAGGCTTTTCGGGTTCAGGGGTTTAGGGTATGGTGCTGGCGGAAGATGAGGGCTTGAAAATGGCTGAGGCCCTGGACCTTGAGGAGAATTGGACACAAGAGATAGGGGAACTGCGCCGCCCTAACAAAAAGGGCGTTATTAATTCGAACCAAGGACTATAAGGGTAGTTCTCTAAGTTAGGGTCCCTTTTTGGGGCCTCAACCCTAAAATGGGACCCTATTTTAGAGAGAACTACCCATAAGAGGATGTCCGACCCCCAGGTTAAGGAGACTCGGGCCTTGCGTTTCTGCATGCCACGGGAAGCATGGATTCAGCCCGGGGTCTGCACGCCCTACACAACTCCATCCGGAGCTGAACAACTCACAACCCCAAAATCCTACCAAAAACCTGTCGTCCCCTAGAAGAGAAGCCCATAAGACCCTTTCTAGAACCCTATAAGACCCCTTCAACAACGCCGCAATTAAGACCCTCTTCTAGAATCCAGGACTCCGCATCCTAAACCCTAAACCCTAAACCTTAAACCTTAAACCCTAAACCCTAAACCCTCAACCCATCCCCAGAACGCTCAAATAAGAAACCCCTAAAGACGAGCCCTTAAGGGAACCCACACGCGAACCAGCCTACATGGGAGTTTCCGCAAATAGGGGGTACCTTATTTTGGGGTCCTTATAATAAGGATCCTATTATTTAGGGTACTATATTAGGGTCCCCTATTTTCGGAAACCCCTACATCCCCAAAGCCCCAACCCGTTCCTTGAGTCACGCAGCTGAGAGAAGAGGAGCAGGGCCACCTGGAGGGGTTTAGGGTTTAGGGTTTAGGGTCTAGGGTCTAGGGTTTAGGGTTTAGGGTTTAGGGTTTAGGGTTTAGGGTTTAAGGTTTAGGGTTTAGGATTTAGGGTTTAGGATTGACATCTTGGCTTTGGGGCCCATAATGATGAGAACAGGGTGTCTGCAAAGGTTCGCTCACGGTTGCTGAGAGGGCCAACGCAAGGGTTTGTACAGCAATCTCTAATATCGCTGTAAAAACAGGCCCATCAAGATATAGTGGAGTTTGGGGCTGGTGTGTTGTAACACGTTAGTATGACTTTACCAGGGCCTTTGGGGGCACACAGCTACTAGTTAGTGAGACCTCTTGAGGATAAGGCTTCAGGGCGCAGGGCCTGAATTTAGGCTTCAGCTTTAGGGAGCTAGGGTTGAAGGTAAGGGCCACAATGGTTCTAAACACCTTTAGTACGGTGTTGGGCGAAAGCACCACTCCCCCTCCCCCTCCATGAGCTGTATGATACTAGGCTCCATAGTAGTTCCTTTTGTGGCTTATAGTTAGGATCCTATAAGGTAATCCTAAAAAGGAACTACCATGGAGCCTATGGGCTGGTCGTCTGTTCCTGACGGGCTGCACATTAAGGCCCTTGGGGCTATTTGGGTAGTTCTCTTAACTAGGGTCCCTCTTTAGGTCCCCAAAATAGTACGGCACCCTTGTAAGAAGGACCCTAAAAAGAGGCCTTCTTTAGAGAACTCCCCACAACGAAAACCGAGGTTCGAGGCCGGCAGACAGAAGGGCAGATGACCGCGACTCGATGGCGAGTAGCACCTGTGCTTTCGGCGAGGTCCCCCGAAGCTTTATGATTTAGGAATTCAGGCTTTGGGGACCTGAAAACATTGGGGCTTTGGGTTGAGGGCGCTACGTAGAGTTTTTGAGAGCCTTTGAGAATTTGTTTCGCAGTTCGGGGGTTGCGGTATTTTGGGAGTGGTTTGTCGGGGGATTCAGGGGCTGTTAGCCTTTTTACATTTTATGACGTAAACCCTAAACCCTTTTTACACAGGCTTGATTGGAGCTCGCCCGGCCAATGTCCCTCGTAGCCTAAACCCTAAACCCTAAACCCTAAACCGTATATCCCATAACAGAAGACCGAGACTTCCCGAAGGTCCTCCTCTACTACAGGGCCCTTGAAAATCCGAAGAGGGCTCCCTCCATGTGTAGCACTTCAAAAAAGGGGCTGATGCGGTGTGTTTTGTGGTAACTAACAGGTTTGATGGGATATGACAACGGGGCCTTTATGCTCCGAAGGGCCTGGGGGTCATCTGATTTCGGATATGGGATCCAATGTCGGCTTTTGGATCCTTTCTGAGAATGCAGGTGTCTACAGAAAGCCTGAAAGACTTAAACCCAGCTTGGTGGATCTTTCCTGTGAGAAAAGAGCCGGGAAGGTTCCAAACTCATGGGTTTTGGATCTCAATCGCTAGTGTTGGTCACCAGGGGCTTCGTGGGTTCTAGGGTTTGTCACGATCCGAGCATTTCGAGTTGCTTTGCGGTCCCTAGTTGGTGTCCAGCAGGCAGAAAACAGTTTCACGCATCAAAGAAGTGCAAGATCTCGCTTTTCAGCGACGGGTGGAGGCGACAAAGGCTTCATACGTGACGGAAAAGGGCGCCGAGTGCGCAAACGAACATGTAGAAGCCGTACGGCATCTCAGGCACTTCAGCAAGCAAACATGGGAACCTCCTGCAAGTACAGAAGCAACTTGCTGGGCTTGTTGGAAGAGCACCTCTATAGGGTTCAGTAAACTCTGTGATGTATAATACATGTTGACTCCAAGTAAGCTGGATTGGGCGTCGAAATTTGAGATTTGGGTGCGTGCTCTGCTTCCAAACAGGATCTCCTCAGCTTCAAGACACTGGCTTTTGATGTACGGATCGCGCCAAGCACTCCCTCCGACTAAGCATGACTAAGCCGGAGCTTGAAATTGTGGTGTATGTACCACAAACCCTAAGCATCCAATCACCAAAACCCTAAACCCTTGTGAAATCGGACCTGTCAGGCTGAACATGTTCGTGCTCTTTCAGAAGGAACAACCATTCGCCATCAGGCTCGAGGGTCCTGAGGGCGGGAGGGTCGAGGTGTCGCGGAGCGACACGTCATGGCCCTTTGAGCTTCGATCAGTGGGACTGGCAGGAAAACAGGCAGCGCCGGGCGCTCGTGATCTTTCGGGGAACGATCGGTTACTGACGGGGTCAGTCTTCAATTCTTCCTTTCTTTTGGATAATCTTTTCTGGATATTCCTTTTCTTGGCAGGGCCAAGGGTTGCTATCAGTGGGGACTCGCACCGAGTTCACA